TCTTATTATTATGCTCTCTCGTCTCCAACGGAAGACCTTATTGTTTTCGTTCGGTTTCTTTTTCCCTATTATTATTATTTTTCTTACCGATTTTGTGCACGCGATTTCTCAAAAACGGCTCGGTCGATTTTCATCAAACTTTCAGATCTGATAGATATTCATCTGAACCTTGTCGGAAATTTTCGTCGTTGATGACGTCACTTCCGGTCGTGAGATATGGACGATTTTCTGATTTTTAGAGGGTCGGCTTGTCCTGAGATCTCCTCCTAAACGACTTAAGATATCGACTTGAGATTTTCAGTGAAGGTAGAGGAAGGATAGTAGATGTGACATTTTGCATATAGAGCTTTCCAGGTAAAAAGGCATCGACGCTCACCTGGGCTCGAAAAATAGGCTCATACGCATCTCGCAAAATTGATACGTTTTCTTTTATATCTTTTTACTTGTTAATATTTTGTTAAGACATGTATAATAAAAAATGTGCAATATAGTAAGACCTTTTATTTAATATCAAGAAAATGGGGTTAGCCCTTCAAATTAGGGGCATAAAGGGGCCAAAAGTCTCTCGTCTTTAACTTTTTAATGAACAATATTTTGTGATACATTACTGAAGCAAAGATATTCAACTTAACAATTTGCAACAATATATACTAAAAATTTGATCATATGTTATATAATAAAGGGTCACAAGGGGCTAGAATGCTAAATCTTTGACGCTTTATGTCTCGAAAAGCGTGAATATTTTGATAAGCAATATTGAACAAAAGATGATCAAAATGATGTTCCAAACAATATGCATACTTTTAATTTTTTAATTTTTCATTTTTTTCCGTCGACACTTCCGTTATAATCCTGAAGTGGTTTAAATATAGCGATTTCTTCTCACATTTTCTAATGAATGTAATTGTTCGTTATCGAGATTTCAAGAATGCGTACCATCTTAATATTTCGACCGGAAGTACGGCTTGTAAAAACAGGAAATTGTCTTAAAATGAGTATTTTCCATCGAAACTTTCAGGGATGATTACTGCATGCTTGATGTAAAGTTGAAAGTTGTTTTGAGCGCGAACGGTCGAACCGGAAATGAATAAGAAGAATTGGAAGTTGATTGGAATGGATTGATCCTACATTTTTTGTGTTTCTAAACATATTTTGAAGAATTGTTGTGCTTTTTTGACAACGTAATTATCCCAACACAGGTCTTATTTCATCAGATAACGGACGGAAGACATACTCGACGAGATCGCATCTAGTTATTATTATTATTATTATTTTTCTTCTCGGGAAAATTTTTTCCGCGAATGATCTTGTAAACTACACATCCGATTTAGGTGAAATGTTTTTAGGGTTAGTAGACATGTTATGTAGATTTGCGGAACGAAGGTCATTTTGAGCGCACATGCTTGCAAGAGCGTGCACGTGCAACACGTGAAATGACCGATTTAATTGATATAGGCGTAACTTTTTACATTTTTGATGAAATGCTTTAAAACTCATAATATAAGGATATATTAGTAGCATAGACAATATCACATGATCAAAATAGCAAGATCTCACGGGCATGCACGTGCGCTTCGCTCTGATTGGCTGAAACTAAAGTCTCAATATCTTTCTTGTTTTTTTTGACAAAATCCTTTGAAATTTTGAACATAGCCATGCATTAGGATATCCTACAACATAATATATAGCAATTATCATAAAAACACATGCATGCACGTGCGCTGCAATCTGATTGGCTGAAACTTTAAATAGCTACAACTCCCTTGGTTTACAACCAAACGGGGTGGGATTTGGAACAGAGATAGATATGAAGAACTTCTACAAGAAGGTATGGTCAACATGCACATGCATAACATGCGTGTACATGTGCACTGCAATCTGATTGGCTGAAACTTTAACAGCTATAACTCCCTTGGTTTTCAACCAAACGGGATGGGATTTAGAACACAGATGGACGTAATGGTCTTCTACAACAAGGAATGGTCACCATGCTCATGTATGCACGTGCGTGCGTGCACGTTAAATGAGTAAAATCAAAGATAAACTTGAATGAGCGTATTTTTTAATACTTTTGGATTAAATACTTTAATATTTAGTATATTAAAATATATAGATTGTGAAGACAATATGATATGGTCATTACGCACATGCATTCACATGCGCACGCGTGCAATGCTTAAATTTTAATGAACTTGGTACACTTCTGGGTAAACGTTGTTAAAGTCTCAAATGCATAGAGTTTGTCTTATTTAATGAAGCTTACAAGGAATATGGCACCAATAGGGAGTTGGGGAGCGTTTGGGGAACATCTGTAACGGTCCCCGTTACAATTAGCACTAGTTATTTTTCTTCTTCCTGGGTACTTATTTGTCCGGGAGTGATCTTGTAAACTACACATCCGACTTAGGTAAAACCTTTTTAGGGTTGATAGGCATGTTATGTAGATTTGCGGAACGAAGGTCATTTTGCGCGCACGTGCTTGCAAGAGCGTGCACGTGCAACATGTGGAATGACCGATTTAATTGATATAGGTGTAATTTACATTTTTGATGAACTGCTTTGAAACTCATAATATAAGGATATATTAGTAGCATAGACAATATGACATGGTCAAAATCGCAAGATATCACGCGCATGCACGTGCACTTCGCTCTGATTGGCTGAAACTAAAGTCTCTATATCTTTCTTGTTTTTTGACGAAATCCCTTGAAATTTTGAACATAGCCATACATAAGAATATCCTACAACATGATATATAGCAATTATCATGAAAACACGTGCATGCACGTGCGCTGCAATCTGATTGGCTTAAACTTTAAATAGCTATAACTCCCTTGATTTTCAACCAAACAGGATGGGATTTGGAACATAGATAGATATAATGGACCTCTACAAGAAGGTATGGTCACCTTGCACATGCATACACGTGCGTGTACATGTGCTGCAATCTGATTGGCTGAAACTTTAAACAGTTATAACCCCCTTGGTTTTCAACCAAACAGGGTGGGATTTAAAATATAGATAGATGTAATGGACTTCTACAAGAAGGTATGGTCACCATGCTCATGTGTGCACGTGCGTCCACGTGAAATGAGTAAAATAAAAAATACACTTGAATGAGCGTATTTTTTAATACTTTTGGATTACATACTTTAATATTTAGTATATTAAAATATATAGATTCTGTAGACAATATGATATGGTCATTACGCACATGCATTCACACGCGCACGCGTGCAATGCTAAAATTTGAATGAACTTGGTACACTTCTGGGTGAACGTTGTTAAAGTCTCAAATGCATAGAGTTTGTCTTATTTAATGAAGCTTACAGGGGATATGGCACCAAAAGGGAGTTGGGGGAGCGTTTGGGGAACATCTGTAACGGTCCCCGTTACAATTAGCACTAGTTTTAATTTATTTCAATAAATTTAGGCAATGAATATAAGACTTCAAATAAGTTTTGAAAATGACAACGGTTGATTATTTTCACATTTAATTACGTCAGTTTTCAAACCTCAGAGTGTTGCGCCAAAGGTGACGGTGTTGATGAGAAGATACAGAAGTCCGTATGTCTTCGCCACTTCATCCTTTATGACATTGCTACAGACAGTTTCCTAGCTGCTGCATTCATGTTTTTTTTCTGTATTGACAAAATCCTATTGCAACTATGCTAGTATCAGTTAACTTGATTCGATTACTTAATCTCTGATAACAAACTTTGGGCACTGAGTCGCCAATTCTCGGGCCTTTCTGACTAACGGAGAAACAACCTGGAATGTTTAATATGTAACCCCAAACACCCCCCCCCCCCCCGAAAAAAAACATTAAAATAAATGCAGGACACCACTTATCTGTAGAGTCTGGAGCTCAGCCGGAAATGACAATGACGCGATTTTCTGCAGAGCTTATTGAGGTAAACACGTACATGGATTTGTTCATAAACATTTTTCACTTCTAATGAATAAGGTCATTCATGAACTATAAAAAAAAATTAGTTAAAACACTATTTAGAAAAATAACCAGTAAATCTATAAATTGACGACATTGTACAATATTTTTTTTCGGACAGTTACAGGCGTGTCTATTTTTTAACATATGTATTACGCAAATAAATTTTTGTTTTGCTTTATCGTATGAAACATTTTATCGACAAACGCACCGGTGCGACGTCACGTCTTTGAAGCGCTATTGTGACGTAAATTCAAAACGTTGTCAATAACGTTGCTAATGACGTCGTGATAACTTTAGGCATTATGAAGTCACAATGTAGTTTGTAGTATATATATATATATATATATATATATATATATATATATATATATATATATATATATATATATATATATATATATATATATATATATATATATATATATATATATATAGTATATGAATATATATTATGAGAGTTGTTGTAATTTGTGCTTTATAAATAAAATTAAATCACAACATGTATTGGTAACGATCCTCTAAAAACTAATGTCCAAATAATTATCTCACTTCCATTCTCAATGACCGTTGGTGTAGGACATATTATATATATATATATATATATATATATATATATATATATATATATATATATATATATATATATATATATATATATATATATATATATATATATATATATATATATATATATAATGATAAAAAATGACAAAGCAACAATTACTATTGAAACATGTAACGTTATAACGTTACCTGGTGATAGAGTCAACAACAATGCATATATTACATGTAACGACCCGGATGATCTTACATTTAGACCAAATGCTCCTACACAAAGACTGAGTCATCTTATGGACATATTACTGAAACCCTTATGTTTAGAAGTAAAAAGTTACGTTTGTGATGATCTGCTGTTACTCTCATCAGTCAGTATCTGAAATCTATTCATCACAGGGTTGTTGGAGAACTGTTTCTAGTCGTATTAGACTTTCTGAGCTGTTTTTGAGGTTCCAGACTGGGCTTGATCTTCACAGACACTATTCTATGGTCAGACTACACTACCGAAGGAGTTGTACGCTTCTGCATTATGAACACTATTTCTCCATTTTTGACGGACAAGAATATAGTCAAAATGTCTCAGTGTGCTGGATGCTCTACATTTGAATGTGAAGAGTTTTCCAGGGCGTTTCTTGAACTGTGCGTTTGCTGCTAGTAGTCTGAATTCAACGAGAATTTCAGCAAGATAGTTTCCACTTCTGTTTGTTTGCGCAGGGCCTAGTCTACCATTGAAATCTCCCATGACTGCAAGGAAGTTGTGGGCAAGGACATCCTGGAGTACGTTTCTTAGCTCTGTGTAGAATTCCTCAATGACAGATTCCTCTGCACAGTTGGTAGGTGGATAGATAAGTATTACGGTTGTACGAGGATTTCCATCAAATGCAGCTACTAGTATTCTTCCGCTCTTATAATTAGATGGTACCACTTTCAGTAGAGATTTTCTAGCTTTCCTGTCTAAGAGTAGTCCAACCCCATCTTGTGCTGCTTGGGATTTGTTTCTCCATCCAAATGAAGTCACTAGAGTGCTTGTGTCAAACTTGGTATAATCAATGTGGTCAGAGTGAATGATGTGATGCTCCTGCACACCGAGAATTCCTATGTACTGCCAATGTCTGCAATGCTGTAATTCCCACCTCTTATCCTCATCAAGTAGTGTGTTGACGTTGTAGGTTACAATGCTAGTTGTTTCCTTACAACGTAAAAATGCCTTCATACGTCCACTGTTTTCAGATGCTACCCCCCGAGAGTTCCGGTTTATGGCGACATCTTCATTCCGTCGCTGTTGAGAGCGACTAGCTTCCTTATTGGTGGCAGGGTTCCTTCTCACTCTCGGAGCTGGAAGTATAGGATATGGCTTATGAGACGTGTTCATGGTTGGTTTACAAAGCGATGATAATTCCCTTGGGCCGTTACTCCTCAAATAAATACTTTGGGCCGAATTGAAAAGAGATCCTTTCTTTGCCCCATTCTTTAATTCAAACAGGATCAGAAGTTTATTCCTATATAGCAGAAATGCAGAAAACACTACGCCTATTTAAGTGATAGATCACTAGGTATTTGTCTTGGCACCAGAGCGTATCAATACGCCGGTGGGTCAAGTATACCATGGACTTTAAGGAATACCTATCCCCAAGCACATGACTTCATTACTGAGTCTTCTTCTAGCAGCCGCAAAGCTGTGTTACCCGGGAGGGAGGGCGGGAACTGTCGTCATGCACTTGTGAAGATAACCTATAATCAGAAGATACTCCGACCGGTGCTCCGAGACAGCTGTGGAGGGAGCCTGATAGAACTGAAAGCTGAAAGCTTAGAGGCCACCAACACCAAGCTACTAAAAGCAAAATGTACCAAGCAACTAGGTAAAGGAAAAACTAAGCCAACTACCAAGCACTTATTCTAGCAGCCCCCCTCCAAACTGTGACCTATATACTAGAATTAGCTTTTTGAAACTTTCGCCATAACTGATGAACCATGAGAGAGAGAGACTTCATATTTAATATGCATACTCCACCAATTAAGTCCATTCAAACGACACAAGATGAATGACCTTATGACCTTGACTGTGATCTATATGCTAAAAATAGTTTTTGGAATCCTGTTGCCGCCGGGCGCATGGTGTTTCACAAACACATTTTGTTTTTAATAATGCAACGGTAAGTATCTGTCAAAATATAGTCGGTATTCAATAATTGTTATTTCTAAAACGATTTTCAGAAGAACAACCGATCAGATTAAAGAAGACATCCGACCAGATTTATACACATTGGGAAGCGGGGTAAGATTATCAGATTAACAGCGTACAGTATATCGACTGGTCAGACAATGTGCCCACCAGTCCCCAGTCAACTAATAGGAAACTATACATACGCAACGTACAGTGACAGGTTTTGATGATCAATTTTTTTTTTACAAAACTTAAATTTAACGCAAGCATATAACAAATTAAAAATTATGATTCTTTGTATAAGGACAATTATTTTGATAGCCATTATGATACAAGAAAAAAAATTTAAACTGAAGATGATATTCTAAAAAATATTTTTGTAAACGTTACTGTTACTTAAGGATTGTCACTAAATTTTAGATACAAAACCCGTTAATATCCGCAGCAAATTAAAAAAAACTAGAATCTGGGTTTTTTCATCTTTCATTTTCGATGATATGCGAGTATTTTTGTGTTTTATCTATAATATTTTTTTTTATTTCAATCATGATTTCCTGCTTATAAATCTTCGAATAACAGAGGGAAGAATTCATTGCATCAATCAAAAAGCCGAACTCAGCTGTTTAGAAATATCAATGTTACATAAAAGCCCTTTTAAAAGATTCATAAATATCATACAATCATAGCCTTTTGATGAGGTCAATCCCTAGATATATACACCTTAGAGAAAGCATATCGACCGAGGCGAGGTCGATATGCTTTCTCTAAGGTCTATATATCTAGGGTTATACCAAATCAAAAGGCTGTGAAGCAACACTAGTGCTGACGTCACAATGGTCTTTATAACGACGTTTCTAAAAACAGATACTGCAGCTGCTATTCATTACTGTAACGTCATAATGCAATTAACATAACAATGCATTATAAATATGAGAAGGTACTGAGTATACACGATTTCAAAAATTCGCGCACTCAAGTTACTTCCCTTTACTACATGTATGACGTCAGACGAGGAAGCTCTAATCACTTACATATATAGTTATCACTATCACAGGCACCTGACGTTACTTATTTTTCTTTTAATAAAAATAATATAGCCCTTACCTTGTGTTTATTATTAGGTAGGGGGTATATTATTTCTTATCAAAAGAAAAATAAGTAACGTCTAACGTCAGGTGCACGCCTGTGATTGAACTGTCACATGTTCATGATGTCGTGTTCATCCCCACCTGATTGCGGAATAGAACTATTGATTGTTATGTTCCCCAAACGAAGTTGGGGAACATAATGTTTTTAATCTGTTTCTTATTAAGGTTTATTGTTTTCGTTCGGTTTCTTTTTCCCTATTATTATTAAGGTCTTCCGTTTCCAACGGAAGACCTTATTGTTTTCGTTCGGTTTCTTTTTCCCTATTATCATTGGACTTTTACGAGTAGCTCTGACTTTTACAGTTGGCAGCTTACTTTTACACTAGAACAATGAACGGAAACTATTTTACGAAATAAATATTTAGCTCAACATTTAATTCAACCAAATGACATTTACTTCAAAGCGTAAATCAGTTGTCCTTTAAGAAAACAACAACCTACCTTCCCTTAACTCCCGGTCTTCACATGTTAGTGCCCCTAACAACATAAGGGGCACTACCTATGACCACTTGAAAGGTGTACTTATCTATTATCAATTCCGTACCTCCATACATGATGCAGGTTTAAATGTCAAGAAAAGCCTCAACTGTGAAAGTCAGTGCTTCTCGTAAAAGTCTATTATTAAGGTCTTCCGTTTTAGACGGAAGACCTTATAGTGATTCTATTGTTTCTTTTTAAGGTCTTCCGTTTCAGACGGAAGACCTTATAGTGATTCTACTGTTTCTTTTTATTAAGGTCTTCCGTTTCAGACGGAAGACCTTATAGTGATTCTACTGTTTATTTTTATTTTTTTCCCCTTTTCTGGTCAGACGAATTTCTCAGAGATGGCTGGACGGATTTCCTTAAAATTTTCAGAAATGATAGAAAACCAAAATACGCCCCCGACGTTTTCTTCATTTTTTCAAAATTCACTTCCGGTCTTCAGATATGTCCGATTTCCGTTATTTCAAAAATATTTTGTCTCAGTCATATCTGAGAAACGGTAATAGATGAAGACATCAAACTTACAGGAATAATAGATCGTGATTAGTAGATAAGCCCATTTGTGTTAAGATCGTCCGCCGTCACTTCCGGTCGTCACAGGAAGTGATGAAAAAAATCAAAGATTTCAACTTTTCTTTTATGAAACTTTTTTTGCATCGCATTATAGCATCTTATTTGTAGTTTCAAAATATATCAGTCCCATCGGAAACAAAAATGACAACTTCCGGTTATAAGAGAAAAAATACATAATTTGAGTATTTTTCTTTCCCATAAATACTTTTTATAGATAAAGTATTTGTTATGATTTTTGGATATCTTATTTAGACTGCATGTGTCTACAGTAACGTTAAATATCTTTGTAAAATCCTCTTCCGGTCGCGTGATTTCCTCTCCTCAAAATGAGAAGTGATCATAGCTAGATCTCGTGAACGGTAAGAGATGAAGACACCAAACTTATACGAGTAATAGATCTTGATAAGTAGGCGAGCCCATTTGGGTTAAGATCGTCCGCCGTCACTTCCTGTCGTCACAGGAAGTGATCTAAGAAATCGAAAATTTCAACTTTTCTTTATGGAATCTTTCTTGGTAATACATTATAGCATTTTTATTTGTAGTTTTGAAATATGTCACCCCCACTGGAACCAAAAACGACTATTTCCAGTTATGAGAGAAAAGCTGCATAAATTTAGTCATACTATCCCATAAATATCTTTTATAAAAAGAGTATTTGAAATGATTTTAGGACATGCTATTCAGACTGAAATGTCTAGAGTAACCTCAAATATCTTTTTTTTTAAATATACTTTTGGTCACGTGATTTCTTGTCATCAAAATGAGAAGTAACATTACGACATCTCTTAAACTGTTACAGAACAAGACACTTAACTTATATGAATAATAAACTATGAAGATTGAGCAACAAATATAGGGTAAAATGCGCCCGCTGTCATTTCCGGTCGTCACAGGAAGTGATAAAAAAATTGAAAATAATTTTTACAAATGTTATTAAAGCTATACTTGTCTAAAGTAATGTCGAGAATCTTGGTAAGTTACACCTTCGGCCGTCTGTTTTCCTCATTTTAAATATTATATGCCTTTTCTAACATAGATAAAAGCTCATTCATACAGATAAATAGAGGAGAACGGAAGACCGTTTTGTTGCTGTAGCATCAAGAGTTTCTAGTTAAGGTCTTCCGTTTCCAACGGAAGACCTTATTGTTTTCGTTCGGTTTCTTTTCCCCTTTTAGCTTGTTATTACTCCTCCGAAACAGTAAAGGTCTTCACTAATGTCTTTCTCCAACGGAAGACCTTACTGTTTTCGTTCGGTTTCTTTTTCCCTATTATTAGGTCTTTCCACCTTTCTGTGGAAAGACCTCTTGAAATGCTTATGTTTATTATTATTAGGTCTTCCCACCTTTCTGTGGAAAGACCTCTTGAAATGCTTATGTTTATTAGGTCTTTCCACCTTTCTGTGGAAAGACCTCAAAAATGAGAAATTGCTCTTTTTATATAAATGCTTTGCATCATTTAGGTCTTTCCACCTTTCTGTGGAAAGACCTACTGTTGATTTCCTTCTGTTTCTTCTTTTCCATTATTATTATTTTTCCGCCGTGTGATTTTGAGTTTCAAGATATATCTTTTTTTAAGCCATTTCCCTTAAAATAAAAAGAAGATTTATAGTTCATAAGAATGTACTCCGTAAAAGATTATTGCAGTTCACCCTGCGTAAATGAACCTTGACCCCTTTCGAAGTTATTGCCCCTTTTGCAAGAAATGCTTGTTATCGCTACTCCTCTGAAACCGTAAACCGTAGAAGTATGAAACCTTCACCAATGTCTTCGACTAATTAAGAGGACTCTTCAATCTATTCATTGCTAAAGCATTCCGTGAACCCTTCAATGAGTTATTGCCCCTGAAACTTTTTGAATTTTACAAAAAAATAATTTTTTTTAAAACGAGAAGATGTAGAGACATGGGACCAACTGCATAAGATTCATTGACCTTCGATCTAAAATTTCATGCAAAGGTCAAAGGTCAAGGTCATTTAGAAAATGAGAAATTAAGCTTTTTCTATAT